TTACCAAATATGGGATTTAACATTCTCCGCACAGCTTTTCCTGGTAACTCAGATGTTCCCACTCCCTGCAGTGAGGTTGCAGAGCCAGTATTACAGCCCAGAGAAGCTGAGCTCCTCCAACCTCCAGCTACTCCCTGCCCTATAGCTTAGGACCAGAAATCTGACCTTGCTTTCTCTTCTGTAAAAGGACCATCACAGTGTATTTTTTAACTTTTATGTGAGGTTTTTTCTTTTTGGTTTTGGTATTCCTAGCATGAAGCACCTACCACAGGCTTTGTTCACAATAATTTGCCCAATGAACACTGTTTTCTTCCTCTGAGCTTTGCTCTTACCACAGTTCTGCTCTTTCTCTTTATAGATCAAATATGGGGAGGGGTGGAGCCTTCTCATAGCTCTACTGATTCAGGAAAGTGGTGAGTTTGCCTTCTTTGCATTGGACTGAAGGTAAGCCACTTCCTGCTTCTGCCATGTAGAGCCCTGGTTTTCCAAGTATGGTGGCTGGAACAGCAGCATCAGAGTCACTTGAGAATCTGTTTCCTGTGCAGATTTTCAGGCTCCACCCATATTATTTTAATTAGGGAGTAAGGACCCCAACATGGTCCAGCATGTGACTTTGATGAACCCTCTTGGTGATTCTGGCAGCTACAGAGTGAGAACCATTAAAGTGGGGGTAAGAACAGGGGCCCCGGAGCCAGGATGCTGGGATGCCATCCCCCTCCTTCATCTACTGTTTGGTGGCCCTGGTCCTGAAAGTGTTTTCTCTGTACTTATCTACTGAATTGGGTTGCACCTGCTACAGAGAGGTGCTGAAAAATCAACTAAAGCAGATCTTATGAAGTTCCAAGACTTTGTAGTACACGGAGTCTAGGATCTTAGCATGGCATAGTGAGGGCATTACAAAATGGAGAAATGTATGCTGTTTTTAAATAAAATTTCAAAATTGGTCAGGGGTAGGCCCATGGAGACTGTGACCTAACTGCATAGGATGCAGTCTAGGACTGGGTTTTGGGAAACTTCTGTGATAGCTCTAGCGTAGATCAGAGTTTGGGAGTAGAGTTTAAGATTTAAAGGTCTAGAACTAGACTAGCTGAGTACCAACCTTGTCAGTTCTGTGCACTAGCTAACTGACATCGGCAAGCTCCTTGTGTCTGGACCGTTAGCACTGGCCTCACAGCACCTGTGTGATTCAGATTTTGGTATACCAGTCTTCATTGATGACCAGCAGCCATAACTGTCATCATCATCATCATTATCATGGGGACCCCCTTCATTTCTGGAGGCAGCTGAGTTCCCTCTACAGGGAACTCATCTCCTACGACAACTTGGTTAGAATCAACACCCCCTTGAGATAGTGAAGCCTCCACTTACTGGAAGTGGGAAACGATGATTCGGATGCTCTGGTTTTAGGTCCCTCTGTGGTCCAGATGCAGCTCTCATCAGCATTGAGCTGTTAGCTAAAGGCTTTGTGGGTCTCTCCAAGAGGCGCTTCCCAGACTGTCCATGCATGTTGATCTGCCTGGTAGATACCGTAGTTAGCCCTAGTAAAGGAAAAGCCCCAGTCCCCTCAGCAGGCACAAGGATTCGACCTTCCACAAGGAATACAATAGAACCTTCATACAGCAATCGATGGAAGCAAGTACAGAGATCTACAGCAAAGCACTGGGCTGAGATACAAGACACCAGTTCAACAGAGGGATGAGTGATAATATGAGCAAAGGGGTCAGGACCATGACGGTGACACCCATAGAAACAGCTGACCTGAGCTAGTGAGAGCTCACTGACTCTGGACTGATAGCAAGGGAACCAGTATAGGAACAGACTTGGCCTACTGAATGTGGGGGACAGTTGTGAGGCTTGGGATTTTGTGGGGTCACTGGCAGGGAGATCAGGATTTATTCTTATTGCTTTAACTGGCATCTTGGTGTACATTCTCTTTGAAGGGATACCTTACTCAGTCTAGATATAGGGGCAAGGGCCTTGGTCTTGCTTCCAATGATGTATCAGACTATGTTAACTCCCCATGGAAGGTCTTACCATTTCTGAGGATTGGAGGGGGGAGCTAAACAGGAAGAGGGGAGGGAGTGGGAATGGGGAGAGCTATGTAAAATGAGAAAAGATTGTATTTTAAATATCCTAAAAAAAAATCGAAAAAGAAAAGGAGTCCACTGAGCTATATAGAGAATGGGGCCAAGAAAGTGTTTGAATGACTTCCTTAAATTAGCTAAGTGATGTTTTTATTTTTCAGTTATTTAAAGTGACTTCACTTAAAAGGAAAAAGAAGAAAGCTAAACCTGCATGAAAGGGTCTTATGGAAACCCACTACTTAGCTAATTTAAAAAATATATTTTTAAAAGGGCTAACTGGTCCAGCAGTTAGGTTGCTTTTTCTTTTACAGAGGATCTGAGTTCTACTCCCAGAACCAACATGGCAGCTTACAACCATCTATAACTCCAGTCCCAGGGGATCCTACGTCCTCATCCAACCTCCATGGGCATCAGAGAGGTACATTATGCACATAAACACATACAGACAAAATATGAACACATATATAAAATATATAAAGTTCAGGGGGAAAAGGAGTCTAAAAGTATTCAGCATAGTTAGATAATCCTGCTCCCAGTAAACATAACTTACTAAATGAAAATCCCAGTACCATGTATGGAACATTTGGTCAAACAGACACATTCTTGATTGACCACCATAAGTGGATGGCAAAACTCTGCAGCTAAAGGTACCACATGCTTTGGTTATAGGACGTAGAGAAACCAAGCTGAAACTGACAGGGAATCTTTTCCCCTGTTGGTTAGCTTGCAAGTTCCAGCAGGTGTTTTGTAGGCCTGTGGGGTAGGAAAGAGATCAGTGACCTCTGTATACTACAATACTGACCTGCCAGGCAAGAAGTCTCTGCTGGGGCAACTGTGGCATGACCATCATAGGGGAGGAAGAGAGGTAACCAACTGCTTTTTGATTGGCGTTGAGGTCTCTTGCACAAGAGGGAATTTATGCCTGGTGCTATAAACCTGACAGCAACAAAACCCCTGGCTACTGTGCTAGTTTGCTTTCTGTTGCTGTGATAAAACATTGATTAAAGGCAACTTGAGAGAGAAAAACGTTTCCTTAGTTTATAGATTAGAACCCATCAAGGGAAGCCAAGGAAGGAACTCAAGGCAGAAACTTGGAGGCTGGAACTGAAAAAGAGGCCATGGAAGAAAACTTCTTACTAACTTGTTTCCCATGGCTCATTCAGCTTGCTCTTTTATAAAACCCAAAACCACATATCCATTGGTGGTGCAGTCCACAGTGGGATGGGTTCTCCCAAATCAATCATTAATCGAGCTTATGATTAATCATAATCGGCCCAGGCTTGCCTATGGGCCGATGTGATGGAGGCACTTTCTCCACTGGCATTCTCTCTTCTCAGATGATTCTAGCTGGTTGACAAAATAAAACTAAAGGGAAAGCTGAGAGACAATTATTCCTAGAGCATAAACTAATGACACGACCACTCTGTGCTACGATTAAGGAGAAGGTTTTATTGTAGGTAAGAGAGGCAGCAACCAGAAGCATCTGGAAGAGTCCAGAGCAGAGGGAGAAAGAAGTTGACTGAACCTGGCCAACAGACTGGGCAGGAGAGAAGCAGAAGAGCAGAACTGAAAGAAGAACAGGAACAGGAATAGGGAGAGAGGGAGAACATAGGAGAACAGAGGGAGGGAAAGGAGGAAGGTAGAGAGACGGAGACAAAGAGAGTGAACATAGACAGAACAGCAGGGTCATAAGGAGCATGAGTACCTGTGGGGAGGGACATCTATGGGCTGGGGGAGGTCAGGGTAAGGAAGGAGGTGAGAAAGGCTAGGATGCTAGCATTGACTTTGAAATGTATAACAGATACTTGTGATTCTGAGGGAGCTTGGAGGCCAGCAAGGGTTTTAATATTCTACGAGGGACCACAGGTAGCCATTTGTCCATTCTGTATTTTGGAAATTTGGGAAAATGGAGTTTCATTTGAACCTGACACATAGATTCCCAAATTATATGGTTTTGGAAAGCACTGACGTATTCCTGGGAGTCTAGAAGACTGTGCACCATTTAAAGCTGTGTGCCTGAGAGGACTAGAAACACACCCAGAAGAGTATGAGCTTGCCCTAAGGTACTGCATCTGTAGGATATTGGAGGTTCTTCCCAAGGAGGAGAGGCCAGAGGCATAGTTCTCAGCTGTTTGGCTCAGTGTTGCAGGCGTAGCCCACAGGTACCCTGAGCCTCTCAGCAAAGACTGGAAGATTTGGTTGTTGTTCTTGTTCCCAGGAATTTCAAGAAATCTTTGCCTAATTATTAACTGTCTCTGGGCAGTGTCTATACACAACAAAGGACACAGATGTTAGAGAATCGGTTGGGGAAAGTCACCCAAGAAGCTAGCAGACTGTGACAAGCAGCAACAGCAATCTTGGGAGATGGAAGACTCGCTTTCAAAAACACCATTTAAAAATATCTAGTTCTCAAAATGACAATACAGCATGATAAAATAGAACTCACAAAAGACAGAGCAATCAACCAAAATGCTAATTGAAAAGGCCGAGATTTCAGTCCTATTTAAACAAAATTTAATTCATCCACTTTAAAATATGTTCAAAGAAAACCATGTCTAAGGAACTAAGAAAAAGTATAGTGTTATTATAAAGAATATTAATAAAAAGAAAACTATCATGAAGAGGTTGACAGAGATTACAGAGTTGGAAACCACATAAACAAAACTGACAAGAAATAAAAAATCATACAATAGAAACCTGACTAAAACAGGGATTCTCTTTAACTTTCTGGTTTTGCAGCAATTTAACCATGTTGTGTGAGACTCTGCCAGAGTTGCTGAGTGTGTGCCTGAATCCTAGTGAACAGCTTCACCTCATTTTACTGTACAAGTGAACACAGTCAAACACATGTAGCTTATAATGTCAAGGGTGTTTAAAGCATCAGTCCACGATTCTGTTTAAATAATTGAAACAGTTGTCCAGGTTCTGATTGGCAGACTCTCAACTGTTAGACTTTAAAAGATATAAAATAGTTTCTATTTCTTGAAGCAAAAACATGCCTAGAGGTGGGACAGAATTCAGCATTGTGATGAAGAGTGCTCTAAGCTGATGTCACAGAGGTTGGCTTGGAGCTGGTGGTAATTTCTAGCAGCCCTGGCAGACCTTATTACTCCCTCGGTGGAATACGTTGGTCAGTCTCTGAACTGCTCTAAGAGAGTTGTTTAGATCCTATTCTCAAATCAGAGGTTTGCTATACTACAGGTTTCTGAAGCAGACAATATCAGAAACCTGTTTCTTCTATTTTGAGGTGTGTGCGCACACGTGTGTGCACGCACGTGCGTGCGCGTGCTTTAAATAATTGTTGTTAATCCAGTGCTAGACATCTTAACTTTGGTAAGTATGTTTTGTAGTCATATTGTTTTCTGTGTCTCTGGGCTTGCTGCTCCCCAGTTTCAGATATTAGACTAAGTCCAGGAAAAGGGGACTTGGTGGGAGGGTTACGTGTTTAGCAGGGAGACACATAAACTGCTAGAAGACAGAATGAGGCACAAAAAACTCCTGAGAAAGTTGGTTCATGGTCTGAGCAAGCCTGTTTCAGGCTCAGCAAGAGCTGGGAGGAACACCTTCAGAATCTTTTAAACCCTGATATAGAATAACCTACTTGGTTTGTTTGTGGGGGTCTCCCACCCCTTAAAAAACTGCTTTCAAGTATATATTTTTTTCTCAGCAGTTTAGGGCAGCAACATTTTGGAGTGTCCTTCCCTCAGTCCATGAAACAGGTCTGCCCAGTGTACTTGGTGGAGGAAGTTCTGACTCAGGAAGCACAGTTGGGAAGGTGTGGGAAGCTCCAGTGCAGGCTTTTCATTCGCTCAGGGTCCTTCACTGCCTCTGAGAAGTGATTACTTTCTACTGTGACCCTCAGCTCCTGGGATCTGGATTTTACAATCAAGTCTCTTTTGTTGTTGTTTCTGGTTTTTTGTTTGTTTTTTTAGTTTTTGTTTTTGTTTTTCAAGACAGCGTATCTCTGTGTAGCTTTGAGACCTGTCCTGGAAACTAGCTCTATAGACCAGGCTGACCTTAAACTCAGAGATCGCTTGTTTCTTCTTCCAGAATGCTGGGATTAAAGTCCTGCACCACTACCTCCTGACTCAAATCCCTTTTCAACCACAAATCAACTCTCTTACCCACCTGAGGTCAGCGTGGACCTCCCTGGACAGAGTTCCTTCTACTTACACTCATGAAGATCCATGTTTGGGTCTTTTATTCACTGGGGGATGGGACTTGTGGCCAAGTGGCTGCTGAATTTGGGAGTGAAGCCACCTCCTCTGCCCGATCTTCTCTTCCAGGTGTGAAAGATGTTACACATGAATATGAACATTGTTGTCAGCATTGTGTGCTGTATGCTGGCTCTTGCATTTATGCTCGCAATTTTTGCATTTTGTCTTGCCCTGAAAATAGTCAAAAAATTCAAGTAAGTCACATGAGTGGGAGGGAAAACGCTTCTTCAATGGGACACTGGTCCTTCTGCGGGAGCAGGGTCATTTCTTACTACAATGGTTTCTTGTAGGGAAAGTCAAGGGCCACTGTCAGGTTTGAGAGGATGTGGGCAGATGGGTACAGAAACTTGAGGGTTTTCTTTCTAGCTTGGAGGTGAGAACTTACAAGTCCACTGTTCTCAGCCTGGACTGCGTGTGTGTGTGTGTGTGTGTTTGTGTGTGTCCTTTCCCGCGCGGGAAAGCATGCATGTGCCAAAATTGCTTTCTGTCACCAGGGAGTGTGCCTTCAGGTGTTTAACAGGCCCCTGGCTGAGCACCCTTTCCCTCTCTGACACTGTAGACTGGGAAATCCAAGTAGGATGCCTTGGGCATGAGCTGTCTCCTACTCACACAGAGAATTCCTATAGCGACCTCTGCCCACTCACTGGGGAGCTCACATGTCCCCTGATTCATTGTCAGTGGCTGTGGGAAAGTGAAATGGGTCAAGAGAATAGAGACTCCATGGAGGACAGCTGACAGGGATGGAAGTCAGACGAGACATGTCTGAAGTTTGGGAGAGGCAGGCTGTCAGCAGTAATGGTGTCCCTTTCCCGGGAGTTAGATGGTGAAGACCAGAGCTGAGCCCAGCCAGCTCTAGCACCTTGTTCAGCATTCCCAGGTCTCACGGGCCTGAGGCAGCCACTGGTGTGCAAGTCACTCTCCCTTGCTTGAACCTGGGCAACCTGGGTTCACATGCATAGCAACTGTAGGAGAGGGGAAGATAGGGACGGAGCAGAGAGCTTCACCCCAAGGCTGGTGTCACATGTGTGATGGGCTTCAGCCCCAGACTTCCCATACAGCACTCATGAATGTAGAATTCACTGGAAAGGACAATTCTAAGCTCATTTTGTGTGTGTCTTTTCTTAAGATTCGCAAATCATCGAGATGTCGAAAGAGGTGTTGAAACTAGCAAGTTCACTCCAAAAAAGTTCAAGGGGGTCAAACCCAATCCTGATGAGTCTCGTAACCTCCTGTACTGTGATCAGTGTAAGATCTGTGCGGATTCTGGCACCCCGCCACCTTGTTATTGTGACACCAACAAAGGACCCTGACATGGCTGAGGCAGAACCCAAAATTATCACAATCAGTATTTTTTTTGTCAGTAGAATATTTTAGTTTTCAAATTAATTTCTGTTATGTTTTTACTCTCATTTACTCTCTACTATGGTTTTATGTTATTTGTGTAAACACACAATAATAAAATAGTCTTATACCTTCACATGGTGGTGCTGATGGTTATGAACATCATTTTTTTCTATCATTTTAACTCATTTTGAGGCTTGAGTCTATATTACTATGTTGCAATATAAGCAGAGAATTAGAGTAAAAAATTAAAAAGGGCATGTAGGCAATATTAAAGAAGGGATATCATTTTGTGAAATGCCTAAATTTTAGTAATATTTTAAAATTAATTTTCAGACTGTAACTGCCTTAGCTCAAGAGAAAAATGATTCCTCTGAGATGACTTTTTCAGGGCTAAACTCTGGTTGAATTTTCTTACATGGGATTCATTTTTCTTTTTTCCTACTTATATCCTCTTTAAACCATATTGTATTTACAATTTAATTTTTAAATTGAAAATAGATTTTTCCATACAATCTATTCTGTATATGCTTCCAAATGGCCCAACTCCTCCCAGATCCACCCCACCTTCCCACCCACTGAAGTCCACACTCCTGCTTGCTCTCCTTCATTAGAAAACCAACAGGAATCTAAAGAAAAAATAAAATAATAAATGAATTCAAGTGGGACAAAACAAACAAAAAGAAAAATAAAGAGCCAAGGAAAATGTACGAGAAACACATACGGACACAGAGACATACACACTGGCACACACAGAAATAGAACTTCTATGGAAGTCTACTGACAGAACCCAGTAGTTGTTCAGTCCATGAAGCTGGATGTCTCAGCTGGTCTTCAGTGTACACCAGAATCCTGGAAAACGCAGGCTCTGAGGCCAGTGAAGGAATGGACTTGCCAGAAAGAGCAGGGAAGCAGGGGTGGGGGTGAAGAGCAAAGGGCAAAGTTCCTTCCCCCATCTCCTTATGCAGGCTACCACCAGGTGGTGGGGCCCAGATTAAAAATGGGTCTTCCTACTTCAAAGGATTTAAGAAAAAAAATCCCTCACACCTGCTTAGATTTTAATTAATTCAGATGTAGTCAAGTTGACTACCAATAATCATCACCGCAAGTCTAACCCCTTCTCAACTTGACACACAATGATATCTCCTTATGTCATCCTTAATTCCCAAATGAAAACAATAGCCAGGTCATTATTACACCCAACCTGATATAACTACCCCATGTACAAGTACAAACACATTCTATATTTAACCACGTCATAATTACATGAAATGTGATATAAATATCCCTCATACAACTGCAAACGCACTCTTCATTTTAGAATAAGTGGTGATATCCCTTGAAGGACATCCTTTTAGTATCTCAAACTTAAACATAACAACCACTGGTATTCTCTTAATTGATGCTACATTACCTGATAAGAAATAAGGAAGGAAAATACAAATACTTGTACAAACACATTCTTAACAATATTACAGAAACACTCATGTCAATTATAATCCATAGTTTCATTCCTGATGGGTCTGTGTCCTTTGTCTCCCTGCCTGGATTAGGCTGTAGCTTCCCATTGACTTTAATTGCAGGGCTTGGTAGCACCAAGAGATACCTAAAGTCTTACACTTCAGACATAAGTTTTCTTCCCTCCCTTGTGGAGAAGCAATCAAATCTCTCCACGGTAATCTTCATCAATCACTCTTCCCAACACTGTCATGCCTTTGTCTTAAGGGCATCCGAAGCCCAGAGTGGCCAGGGGAAGCCCTGAGTTTCAGTCTAATGGAATGTTTGTTGTCTCCTGGCAGAAGTGCTGCCCCTCCTGGAACCAAAACTTCTAGGCCAGAAGAACTTAAGGTCATGGGGACTGAAAGGAAAAAGGTTCCTAGTGAGCCACTAGGGGTGACAGTAAGTGGAACCTTCCTTTTTCTACCCTTTGATTCCTGCACCCCTGAATTCCCGCTAGAGGAGAACACACTCCACAAACTGGAGCCGAGTCAAAGCATACACCCCTGTGGAGAACTCTAGCCCAGCCCTTCAGGCTACTCCACCTAATTGACTTTGTAGTTGTGTCTTCTAAAGGCCATTCCATCTGTCTGTCAGGGCAGCTGCTTCAGGACAGGGGGCCTACTATCACACTTCTCTGGCTGCGAAGTGCGTTCCTGGGTCAGAAGCAATACTGTGTGGAATTCTATAATGGCGCATAAGGAATTCTGTAAGTACACAGATGGTGATTTTGGCAGAAGCAGTATATGCCAGCACAAAACTCACTGTGCCTATGCACCCATTATGGGCCAGGCCATTACAAACACGGCTTTGTCTGTGCTGCCCATTACAGTAACTATCACCTTGTCTTTGGCAAGTCAGTGCAGCCGCACGGCCCTCACTACATCAGGACCCAACTAAACCTTGCACATTGTTCCTGTGTACGTTAAGTCATCTCAGGTCACTTAGAACCCCCAAGAAATGCAATGTCAAGGTGGGACAAATCACTGTCACACCGTATTGTTTCTGGAATGGTGACAAGAAAGAGCCTGCATGTGCTCAGCACAAAGTTCTATGTCAAATATTTTTGAGTCACGCTTAGTTGACTCTTTAGATGCAGCCAACCTCATATACATGCACATATTCATATGGGTAACTGCCTAATGAAAAGAAAATCAATTTTTTCAGCTACTGTGAAACCATGGTTTCATCTTTCTCTACTGTCACATCAGGAAAATTCTCTCTTCCCGACTGTCTCAGTGTGTCCCAGACCTCTGCATTTCCTTCTACCTGCATCCATTAACCAGAGCAGACAACAATCTGAGTACCTATTACATTTATAGATGTAAACAGTGTGGGCAGTGACATGGAGCATGCCCAACTCTCACTGCTCCAAGCCTCCAAGCTGCCCTGCAAACACTGTACCACTGAGCTAGAGTCTCAGCCCCATTGCAGTCACTTACAAGACATTGCTCAAGCTCAGCCGATCACTCACAAGTCAAGGTCAAGGTCCCTCAGGGCTTTCTTGGCTTCTCTGCATAGGAACGCTTTGGACATGGCCTCCATTTCCATTTAATACACACTACTGCTACTCTGTTGAACCTTACGCAAACTGTATCACTGCTTCTGTTTCCCTTTAAAAATGGGATCATTTTTTAGCTGGGCACAGGACCTTTAATCCCAGCACTTAGTAGATAGTGACAAGAAGATCTCTATGTTCAGGGCAGCCTAGTGCCCTTAGTGAATTCCAGGACAGGCAGCTATATAGAGAGATTCTGTCTCAAAACCAACCAAAATAAAACAAAAATGGGGTTTTTTTGTTTGTTTGTTTTGTTTTTGTCCCACAGCAAAAATCAGGAACATTGTAGAGCTCTATGCTTAATGTAAGTTTTCCTCCAGCTGGGATTTTTGGGAGCTTATGAGACTCTAACATACTGGACTGCAAGATGTCTCAGTGGGTAGAGAACCTGAGTTCAGATCCCCAGAACCACAAAGCTGGGTTACACTTATCTGTAATCCCTGTGAAATGGGAGGCAGAGGCAGCCGGATGCTCAGATCCCCGCAAACCTGCTAGACTGGTGTAAACTGGATGCAGTCAGAGATGAAGAGGCCTGTTTCAAGCTTGGCAACCAAAATTCTCCTCTGATCTCCAAGTATGTAAGTATGTGTCTACATTCACATAAAGACACACACACACACACACACACACACACACACACACACACACACACACGGGTGGGGGGAAGGGGTGGATAGAAAGATTTTAAAAAGTAGCCTTCATTGGCGGCGCCTGCGCAGTGAAGAGCAGCATGGCTGGACCAGCTACCGCGATCCTACCTTTTCTTCAGGCTGGAGGACCAACTGGTGGATGCTGGAATAGATGATGGCTGCCAGCTGAGAATGGGCCCGGGTCAGTGAGGAGCCCTCCATTCTGCCAGGCCACTGTCCCCTTCCGCACCCACTGGGCTAGTGGGGAGCCGGCCAGTGTGCCAGTCGAGGGTAAGACTCAGTGCGAGCTCCCACACTGCTCCTCGCGGGCTGAGGTTTTCTGTCAGATATTCCACTGCAATAATGCTGGAGTTACATCAGAACAGTTTTTCTGCACACAGAAATGGAGAAATGTTTAAAGACAGCTGACAAATTAAAGATTTTAATGACCTAAGCTCCTTGTTGAAATAAGATTAACTGGATGGCAAGTGCCATCTAGGGTAACCCAAATCTGTTACTGGAACCATGAAAGTTTTGCTGGTGGTTGGCTTTGACAATACAATCATAGATGACAATGATGACACCCGGATTGTACAGTGTGCTCCAACAAAAAAAAATCCTATGGAACTGCAAGAAGGGGTTCTGGACAGAATTTATGGGCAGAGTCTTTAAGTATCTGGGAGAGGAAGGTGTGAAAGGAGACGAAATCAGAAGAGCCGAGACATCAATGCCTTTCACTTCGGGGACGGTAGAGCTTTTTAGGTTTCTAAGGATGAATAAGGATGCATCTGATTGCATCATTATTTCAGATCCAAACTCCATCTTCATAGCTTAGGCTTAGAAGCTACTGATTTTCATGATGTCTTTGATAACGCGTTTACTAATCCAGCAGCTTTGATAACAGTGGTCGCCTCACAGTGAAAAATTGCCATGCTCGTTCTTGCAATAGGTGCCCGAAGAACCTTGGTAAAAATGCAGCTTTGGTAGAATTTATAGATACACAGTTACAGGAGGGAGTGGATATGCACAGATTGTTATACAGGAGATGGTGGAAATGGTGTCTGCTCAGTTCCCTTTCTAAGGAAATGGTGTTGCCCATGAGACGGAAAGGATGCACTCTCCGTGGAACTCTGGCCAGAAGGTCTCAAAATCTTGAGCCTATGGAATCTTCTGTTGTGGTTTGGTCTTCAGGTGTTGAAATAATTTCTCATTTACGATTTCTAGTGAAGGAGTAATGTGCCAACAAAAAATTTAACAGTCATCAACAGCTCTTCAATACTCATAAAGCAATACAGTTTTAGGGATCACGTCACAGGGCCACTCCTAGTGTCTAACATGGAGAACATATTTTTCAACCTGCCGATGACCCTAGCATATGAGGACAATGTCACAGCTCAGAAGCACCTATTTTTCCTTTCCTAGGTCTGGCCTTGAGACTGGTGAATGGTAGCC